TTCTTCTCTCTGGGTGCTTTCGGTCAAAGGAATCTCCTTGTCTCCCGTTCCTCATTTCTCTCTCCATTGCTCAGTGTGCTTCGTTCTGGTGGCTTTGGGGGCAGGACTCAAGTCCCATCTGTTTTCCTACTCGTCTCTCTACTTCACTCTCACATGTGGCTGTTCTCTCTGGGTGCTTCCGGGGCACAGTATGCTCCTTGTCCTCTGTCTGCCTCCGTGCTTGTCCCCCTTGTTCTCTCCGACTCGTGCCCTTCTCTCTCTATCTATCTATCTATCTACCTATCTATCTATCTATCTCTCTCTCTCTCTCTCTCTTGCTGTTCTTCTCTCTAGGTGCTTATTTGGACAAATGATTCTCTTCGTCTCCCATCTGTTTCCGTACTTGTCACCCTTGTTCTCTTCAAGTTGTATCCATAATTCCATCCCCAGTGCTATTCTTCTCTCAGGCTCCTTTCTGGCCTCCTGTGTTTCTTTCTACTTTTCTTCCTTTGCTCAGGTCTCTTTGCTTGTCTCTTAATTGCTGTGCTTGTCTCTGCGTGCTTTGGGCCAAACCTATTACTATTATCCGTTACATTCCCTTACCCTCGGTCTCTACTACATGTTTCCCTACTTGCCTTCCTACTTGTCTCCAAGTGGTCTCCTTATCCTCTCTCCGCTACCGTGCTTCTGTCCAGGTCTCCAGCATTTGGGACGGAGAGGAGAGCTTTCCCCTCTTTCCTTTCTTTCCTTACTTGTTCCTCTAGTCTTTCCCAGTGCCTTCTTCACTTCTCTCCTCATTCATTGCTGTTGTTCTCTCCGGGTGCTTTTGGACCCTGGACTCCTGATTCTTCTCGTCTCCCATTTGTGTCCGTGTTTGTTCCCCTTGTTCTCTCCAAGTTGTATCCTTAGTTCCCTTCCCATTGCTATTCTTCTATCAGGCTGCTTTGGGAAGAATGGATTTCCTGGTCTTTGCTTTCCTTCCTTTGTGCAAGTCTGTGTGCCTTGGGACGAACCTATTATCCGTTACATTCCCTTACCCTCGATCTCTACTACATGTTTCCCTACTTGCCTTCCTACTTGTCTCCAAGTGGTATCCTTATCCTCTCTCCACTACCGTGCTTCTGTCCAGGTCTCCAGCATTTGGGACGGAGAGGAGAGCTTTCTCCTCTTTCCTTTCTTTCCTTACTTGTTCCTCTAGTCTTTCCCAGTGCCTTCTTCACTTCTCTCCTCATTACTGTTGTTCTCTCTGGGTGCTTTTGGGACACAAAGTTGTTTGCAAAGCCGCCCCCGAAAGCTGCCCCCCAAAGCTGCTGTTCTTCAAAGCAATTGTTCCTCAAAGTTGTTCCGGAAAGTTTGCCAAAGATGCTCCCCAAACAGTTCCCCGAAGCTGCTTCCCAAAGCTGCTCCCCAAAGCGCCTCTGCAAAGCGGTTGCCCCAAAGCGGCTACTCCCCAAAGACATTCTCCAAATCGGCTCCCGAAAGCTGCTCTGTTCACCAAAACGGCTCCCCAAAGCTATTCTGCAAAGCGGCCCCCAAAAGCTGTGCCCGAAAGTTGCTACCGAAAGCTGCTCTCCGAAGTTGCCCCTATTTTGCCACATAGCCCAATATTGGCGGCTTTTTGGGTGGATAATTATATTGTTTAGTATTGATGATTTTTGGGGTCTTCAAAAAAGCAATAAATTTTTCAGAAAGGGAACCACACCTCCAGTTTGTTTCCCTATTTTGTCACATAGTCTAATATTGGTGGCTTTTTTGGGTGGATATATACTTTAGTATTGATGTTTTTTGGGGTCTTCAAAGAAGTAATGAAATTTTCAGAAAGGGAACCACACGCACATAGTTTAGCAGCATTTTTTGAAGACATAGTCTTGTATTTTTTGAATGCATGTTTAGTATTGAGATTTTGTTGAATACATAGATAGGATTGATTTTTTTTTGATACATAGATTACTATTGGGAGCTCAGCTTCTCACTTTTGGGGGTTTCATTTTGGAGGGCTATTTTTTTTTTGCATTTTTTTTTTTGGTCCTGGCTCCTGGTGGCTTCTGTGGCTTCTGTGGCTTCTGTGGCTTCTGTGGCTTCTGTGGCTTCTGAGGCTTCTGTGGCTTCTGTGGCTTCTGTGGCTTCTGTGCCTTCGTGGCTTCTGTGGCTTCTACGGTCCTGTGGCTTCTATGGCTTCTATGGCTCCTGGCTCCTAGAGCTCCTCGCTCCTATGGCTCATTTATCATCTATCGATCAATCTATCAGTGAAGCATGTTCACCAGGTGCATGTTGTGCATTAGATACACCTTGAGTATAATCCATCTATCTATCTATCTATCTATCTATCCATCCATCGATCTATCTATCTATCTGTCTATCTATCTGTCTATCTATTTATCTGTCTATCTATCTAACTATCTATCTGTCTATCTATCTATCTATCTAGCTATCTAACTATCTATCTACCTGATTCTATCTATATCAATCTATATCTATCTATATCTATCTGTATCTATCTATTTCTACCTATATCTATGTACATCTACGTATCTATATCTCTCTATATCTATCAATATCTATCTGTATCTGTTTCTATATCTACATCTATGGCTGTATTTATATTTCTATATATCTATATATCTATACATCTATATAATTATCTATATATCTATATCTCTATCTATATATCTATATCTCTATATATTTCTCCATATGTCCATATATCTCTATATATTTCTATGTATCTCTACTTTACATATCTATATATATATATATATCTATATATTTATTTATATATCTATATTTTTATATATATATATATATCTATATATATATATATCTATTTATCTCTATCTATATATATATAAATATCTATTTATCTCTATATCTATTTATATATATATATCTATTTATATATCTATATCCATATCTATAAATATAAATTTATATATATATATCTATATACCACTATATATCTATATATCTGTATATATCTATCTATATATATATTTCTATATATCTATATCCCTTTAAATCGTTAAATCTATATAGCTATATATCTAGCTACCTATCTACCTATCTATCTATCTATCTATCTTTCTTTCTATCTATCCATCTTTCTATCTATCTATCTACCTATCTATCTATCTATCTATCTATCTAATCTATCTAATCTATCTAATCTATCTAATCTATCTACCTACTCTATCTTATCTACCTACCTACCTACCTATCTACCTACCTATCTATCTATCTATCTATCTATCTGTCTATCTATCTATCTATCTATCTTGTCTATCTTGTCTATCTTGTCTATCTTGTCTATCTTTTCTATCTTGTCTATCTTGTCTATCTTGTCTGTCTTGTCTATCTTGCCTATCTTGTCTGTTTTGTCTGTTTTGTCTATCTTGTCTATCTTATCTATCTTCTCTATCTTATCTATCTTCTCTATCTTCTCTCTCTTATCTATCTTATCTATCTTTTCTATCTTATCTATCTTATCGATCTTATCTTTCTTATCTTTCTTATCTATCTTACCTTTCTTATCTGTCTTATCTATCTTATCTATCTTATCTATCTTATCTGTCTCATCTATCTTATCTTATCTTTTCTTATCTTTTCTATCTTATCTTTCTTGTCTTTTTTATCTTTCTTTTCTTTCTTATCTATCTTATCTTTCTTATCCATCTATCTTTCTGACTATCTATCTTTCTATCTTATCTACATCTATCTAACCATCTACCTATCTATCTATCTATCTATCTATCTGCCTATCTATCTTTCTATCTGTCTATCTATCTATCTATCTATCTACCTATCTATCTATCTATCTATCTATCTATCTATCTACATCTATCTATCTACACCTATCTATCTACATCTATCTATCTACATCTATCTACATCTACCTACATCTACATCTACGTCTTCATCTACATCTACATCTTCATCTACATCCACATCTATCTACATCTACATCTATCTATCTACATCTATATCTATCTACATCCACATCGACCAGCATCTACATCTATCTTTCTATCTATCTATCCATCTTTCTATCTAATCTAATCTAATCTAATCTAACCTAATCTAATCTAATCTAATCTAATCTAATCTTATCTTATCTTATCCTATCCTATCTTATCTTATCTTATCTTATCTTATCTTATCTATCTATCTATCTATCTATCTATCTATCTATCTATCTATCTAATCTATCTACCTATCTACCTATCTACCTATCTATCTATCTATCCACCTATCTATCCATCCAATTATCTATCTTTCTGTACATACATCTACATCTACATCTTCATCTACATTTACATCTATCTACATTTACATCTATCTACATCTACATCTATCTATCTACATCTACATCTATCTATCTACATCTACATCTACATCTATCTACATCTACATCTATCTATCTACATTTACATCTATCTATCTACTTCTACATCTATCTATCTACATCTACATCTTTCTCTCTCCGCCTATCTATCTACACCTACATCTTTCTATTTACATTACATCTACATCTATCTGTCTCTATCTGTCTCTATCTATCTATACCTACATCTACATCCACATCCACATCTACATCTACATCTATCTCTACATCCACATCTACATCTACATCTGCATCTGCATCTATCTATCTACACCTGCATCTGTCTATCTCTATCCACATCTATCTATCTCTATCTATCTATCTATCTTTCTTTCTTTCTTTCTTTCTTTTAACTATCTATCATCATATCTATCTAACATTTTGTCATTTTATCATTTTATCCATCTATCTATTTATCTATCATTCTATCTATCTATCATTCTATCTCTCTCTCTATCTATCCATATACATATTTTTTCATTCTAATCATATCTGGCATTCCAAGAGAATGTGGATGTGATGTAAATCATGCAAATTCAATACAAGAATAATAAACATCACGCACACAGACACACATAATATGCACGTCATGCAGATACTGTTTGAAGTTTCATGGACTTCGAAAACTCTCATCCCCGCTAAGGATTCCTTTCAAGAGCAAGGAAGGAGACTGGAACTGCAGATATTGGATTCGTCTCGATTAGCCTATGACAAGCTGTTGCTGAATATTGAATGGTCTGTGTGGTGGTACATCATACAGCCGCCCAGCCAAGCTGCCCAGTCCATGTTTACTTTCCTGAAAACTGTCCACTTGAATCCAGGACCTCGGAACGTGGGCCAAGTGGTGGGAGAAAGTGAGTGGAGTCGACGGAGTCGACGGAGTCGACTGTAAGAGAATCAAAGGATTGTAAAAGGTCTGTTTATATCTGTTTATCACATGTTGGGTTCTTCGCAGCAGGATTTTTCTTGACCCCCGTTTGGCCCCATACCGGCAAGATTTGTTCGTCGCAGACAAGCAGTCTCGACCAGAGGGAGTTGGATGGAGTTAGCGAATCCGTTTTTAGAATGCTCTAGCCTGCAGCTTTGAAACAGGAGTATATAATATAGTGGTAAATAGTGGTAAGAGAGGTGCCAAATATATAGTCGTTGACCTCCCATTTTGAGATTGGCGGCTTCATCACCATCGGCATTACCGCTGCCTCTCCGATTCTTCGTTATTCTTACATTCCGCAACGCCACCCATGTCACCATGTCACTTCATGTTGCATCATGTCACACCCACAGGATGGAATGAGTGGACGGACTTGTTGGCAGAAGCTGCGCGGACTCAGCTGCGTGACCAGTGGGAGGAAAACACTGGTGAACCTGGTGAACACGCGCTTCAGCAGGCCGTGTGTTTCATGCGCTGAGATGTTGAATGCGATATGGTGAGCTCAACTTTGTGACCAGACTCCATGTTGGTAATTTGGAGTGTAATTTCAGGGCAGAAACAGGATTTAGCTCTGCTGTGACAACTCCTTGGCAGGTCATTCGAGATAGGCTGCAGGGCTTTGCGTACAGCCTGGTGATCACTTATTGCACGGGGCTCTTTGCTGGTGCTTCCATCACTTTGGACGGCAACAAGTCATATACTTTCAAAACAAGACCGCCCATGCTACCAGGACTACCTGGAGCGAATCTCTCTTTGTCAGTCTTCAGTCAGGAGGGTAGTGAATCTCACCTGGAGAGGACTCTGGAGTTTCAGCCAACCTCAAGACCTTATTATTTGGTACAGAAGCAGCTCTTTGAGAAGGGGGCCAGCCAACAGCAATCATCCTCTGACGCATGGACAGGAGTGTTCAACTATACCATTCCCTGGAAACCAATGACAAGTGAATGCGGCTATGCCAAGAGCCTTCCCATTCCATTTTGCAATGGCCTGAGCGAAGGAGTTGGCTCTGCTTGTGATGGCTTCTGCGGAGCTATAGCTTCTCATGTCAGCTTGGAAACGATGAAGGAAGCGCTTCAGGTGCCCGCACGCTTCCGTTTTTGCTTTCTATTTTTGTTTGTTAGCTGGCGTGTTATGGTCCGTTAGATCTCATGCTTTTTCATGTCGCTGTGTATTGGTGAGTAGCGATCCCCACTACGTAGCAATCTTACAGTTGTTCTCCAAAAACGTGCACCCATCATGCCTAATGCGGTGTATTGTTAACACATCAATGAGACAATTGGAGACAGGTGCAGTGGCAGAGGATACACGATTATTTGGCATCCCCATTGTACAACTATGAATTGCTGGCATCGAAATCAAGCGTCTTCACACTCATTCAAAAGTCCAACGCAGCACCCAAACAAGAAGGTTTCCTGCTGGCTGCTTCCAATGATCCTGAGCAAGGTTGTAACTTCAGGTATGCCAACGATTCTCCACTTCACATAGTCTCAAGTGCCGCTCGAGCGCTCCATCGTCGAATGGGGGGGTCGTGGAATGCAGAACTTCTCCATTCACGATTCATGATGAACTTCAGCATGGCCGAAATCGAGCTGGGTCGGTGCCTGGTCTGTCAGAAACCGCCTTTAGCTTCCTTTAGCCTCTTTATATACACCCGATAAAAAGAAGTTTCAGGTTGATCCGCTTGGTACTGCTTGACTTATTTTTTCTATGTCCCTTGCATTTGCAGCCGCTACATCAGGTCACTAGGAACTGCTTGTGGGGCTGAGGTCAGTTCCGTGTCTAAGTCTCACAAAAGACTGCTTTGATGCAGCTACTCTTCAGATCAAATTGGACGACGATCTACATTGGCTGGTTGTCCTCGTCTTGCCGGCTGATGCTTTTACGCTGACAGCTGCCTCGCAACAGTCTGCTTGGGAGTCTTTTCTGCACAAGAGTGACTCTTTTTGCGCGCAAGCTATGAGCGCACAGCATAGATGTAGATTGGCACGGGAAGCGAGGCTGCGGCAAAGGAACCCCATATATTGTGTGAAATTGTATCCTTTCATCCACCACTTAGCCACGCCAGAGCCAGGCAAATTCATGACTTACAACGGTCCATCATCTCAGTAACTTTCTTGTGCGAAGTGGTTCATAGCAGACTAGAGAGACAGAGACATGCCAGAGCGGCCAAACGGACCACAGACTCAGACTTGACCGACGGACCCATATACACATGCAGACACAATTTAGAGGCGAAGGGTTGTTGGGGATAAAAGTCTTAGTTGGCGAACTTGCAGAACAAATCATTAACTTGGCATAACTTGGCTATGATAAACACCTTTCATTTCCACTGTTTCCTGTTGCGCGCACTTGCCTCTAGGAAGGAGAGATTGAAGAGAGAGCCACTCAAGTGTCACATGACGTTACCACCATCAACCGTATCTCAGTGGTTCTCCTCACTGTCTCAGCTCTTTTCGGCCTGACAGCGGGGTGGTGCATCAGTGCTTTTGCAGGTTATCCATTGAACAAGTTGCAGGCATACATGCAAAAATTGTCGCGCCTGGATCTGGATGGAATACCTGGGCTCCGCTCCCGCAGCCTAACAAAGTTATCTTCGCTAAGGGAAGTGTCGCAACATTCGTTAGCCGCACTTGTTTTATTTTTGTGCCTGGCTGGTGCGAATAAGTCGAGGAGATGGGTAGTTTTGAAGTCCACTAGTAGCTGAGTTTCCTCTCAATCGTACTTCTTCATATCTCCTGAAAGATGCTGGTTTCTCTCAGGTCTCAGAACTTCAACTCGGCTTTGTAAACCTGGCTCAGAGTGTGGAGACCTTCTCTCGTTTCGTGCCAGAGACTGTCGTGAGAAGAATTCTTCACGGAGACAAGAAGGCCACCCGTATTCATGTCCGCAAGCGGACCGTCACCATCATGTTTTCGGACATTCGCGGCTTCACAACAATTTCGGAAATGCTGTCGCAAACGGACCTCCTGACACTCTTATACATGTACTTAAGTGAAATGACGCAAATTGTTGAGAAGCACGGTGGTGTGGTCAGCGAGCCTTTGCAGGATCAGCGAAGGGAGGAAGTTTGAGTTTGAGTTTGAGCTTTGGGTGGGGGAGAGGTGTGATAGAGATCCCAGTGTAGTTTCGTGGGGCCATGTCGTTCGATAGCATCATGTGAAGCTGGTCTTTCGGGAGGTGGAAACAGCTTTGAGGCCCAAGATTAAAAAGGCAAACTGGAAACCTTGATGTGGATCACCGATGGCAGGTTACTGTTTGAAGAACACTGTAGCCCACGTCAAAGGATCAATGCACAGTGGATGCCCTGGGGCCTCCAGGGACGCAACTTCCACGCACTTGTTGAACACCCGCTTGATTCTTCCACACAAGAATAAAGCTATAGAAAGCTAAGGAAATTCTTGGAGACGGGCTCCTAGTCCTGTGGAACACTCCAGATGATCTGCCGGACCGCGGATCTTGCACGGATGTTGTGGAAGTTTCTTGCGCAAAAATTGTCAAGTCTTGAGACTTAGACATGCAGAGACTTATCAATTATCAATGCCAGCCATCGAGGACCACGCGGTGGCAGCATGCGCAGCGGCGGTGGCGCAACAGAAGGCAGCTGGTATTCGACGCCTGCTGAGCAGGGAATAGGAAGCGTTTGAAGCGTCTCCTCTTTCCAGTGTTTGAGATGTTTGAATATGTTTGAATTGCTCTTTGATCCTCTTTGAATCCTTCTCCTGTCAGATATGAATAATTACATCATATTACATCCTTGCATGTAGACACTGAATTGGATAGGATCAACAACTTGAGATGTGATATTATATGACGACGATATATCCGATATATTATGATATATGCATCATTATGCATCTATGTGTTGAATTCATATTTTTTCGATGTGTTTAATTCAATAGATACTTGCCAAGATGCTACAATGTGTAACCTATTGTAACCTTCTCACTTACGCTGGATACACCATGGCCAAGCGATAGCATTCAGGCCTTGACCAAACTCAACGAATCTTTTGCAGAGCTTGGCCTTCCAAGTATCTCTATTCGCATTGGCCTTCACACCGGGGACTCTCGTCATCATCATTATTCGTCATTGGTCATTTGATGTCATTGCGTGTTTGCCCAGCGGGAACGTCTGTGGGCAAGCCGTTGCCCGGACAAGCAGCCTTACTCCGGATGCGACTGCAAACAGCGCGGGTCAGTCCGGCCAGGGAATGTTTGTATCTGCATTTTCCCCAACCTCCGGTGAGCCGGTACTTTCATGTTTGTGCTGAGGATGTTCTCGCTGGCAACATCGGCAGCTGTAAAAAGATGAAGTATGGTTGCATGGGCGATCCGGTGAACCTTGCAAGCCGACTGGAAGGCATTGATGCACACATGTGCATACCATATCTTACCACTGATGGTTCTTTAGTATCTCAATTCTGGAGTGACTTATTTTCCCCGGATATTTCAACGCTGCATCGAGCACAGGTTTGGCAAAATACTACGGGGTTGGAACGCTTTGCTCTGATGCGACCCGCGCGAAATTGCCGCCCCACTTTTTGTGCAGAAAGCTGGACCTGGTCAAAGTTAAGGGGAAGGAAGAAGCAGTTTGGGTGTATGACACTCGGAAATTACAAGCGTCACTTTGGTGGAAACGGTGTGAGATAATGGCAAGGAGAGTGTGGAACACAGAGAGTTGATGATACTGTAGGTGATAGGTTCCTTTCTTCAGGCCCCTGGTTGTCAATGAAACTTGGCTGGGCAGTGCCAGCAGAGATTTCAATCGAAGAGCTCAATGTTCCAAAGCTCCGCTACTGGCTTATGTATCTTATGTCAAGTGCTTGAGAAGGCCCAATATAGTATGAAAAGGACCTTCGAACTTCCTTGGAGCCTTCCGAACCCAGAGGGGAATTACAGCAGGGAAAGTGAGGGGTGATGCTGCAGCATGCAAAAGCAGCAACTGGGAAAGACAGTCCTTGTGCATGTCTTTGCAATTTACCTTGCAGTTTATGGGATGAATTTGCATCAGTTCGTAGCATGTATGGATTGAGCAGGGCCCTCACTGCATGCTGACACAAACAGAATTTCAAGTAACAACGGGACAGAATATGACAACACTGTACAACCCCCTGATGATTGGCAGGTGGGCCACTTTTGTTGATGTGGCCTAGCTTGGTCTGAGGAGCTCATCCACGAAACACCTACCCCTTGGCTTCAGCAAAAAGTGCAGCTTTATGAAGCCGGCTTAAGGGCCTATCATGACAGGGGCTTTGCTTCTCAGCTGAACTAAGTCTAGTCAAAAAAAAGTTGACTGCTGATAAGGCAGGCGACAGACCTGTATCTTCAGCTTTCAGCAGGTAGAGACAATACTGTTTATCATTGCTAGTAGGCTATAGTAGACTTGTTGCGCACAACGTGTTCATTTCTTCTCGTTGTAAACAGAGAGATGTGTGATGAGTGATGGATGGACCTCCGTGCCACTACCGACCTGAGCTCAGGTGCCTGCAGCGCAAAAACTCGCAACCCTTTTGGCACAGGACAGTGTGGCAAGGCAATTACTCGTACCATTCCCAAAGCTGAACTCCACTAGACTGCATGATCTGCATGCACAAGGGAAGGCAGGAAGGCGGAGTCAAACACATACGGACGTGCGTAGTGGCTGAGGATGGCTGAGGCCAATGCTGTGCGTGTATCAGAATTTCTGATGCCTTGCGCACACCTTTTTTTCCTTCAAAGTGATTGTGGCTGGGGAGGGTTCACTCACCAAAGTAAAGAAGGATGTGAAAGCAGCCGAGGAGCCACAGGACAAGGCAGCTGCTCAATTGTTGGACCGTGCCCATGAAGCCCAACGTTTGATTCCATTTCCAGCGGAATGGAGCCCTGTGACTCAGAGAAGAATTATATAAGCAACTGCGGACAAACCACTTCCAAGTACTGAGACATTCTTTACAATGGTTTGAACAAATGATGTGAGGGTTTTTGAATAAATGCACATGCACACTCACACACACACACGTGCATATAATATTATATATATATATATGCACCAGGCCCTGCCACCCCCCCCTCCCCCCCCATGGGATGGGTCCCATCCCCCTCCCCCCCTGTGGTGTGGTGGGGGTGTGGTATGGTATGTTGATGTATGTTGGGTATGGTATGTATGGTCGGTCTGGTATGGCATGTTTGGAAAGTATGGTATGTTTATGTATGTTTGGTATGTATGGTAGGTATGGTATGCATGTCATGAGTGGTTGGTATTGTATGGATGGTAGGTATGGTATGTAAGTCTGTTGAGTATGGTATGTTTGATATGACAGTATGTATGGTCTGTATGGTATGTATGATTACTATGATGGGTATGGAATATTTCCTATGTAAGGTAGGTATGGTATGTATGGCATGTATGTTTGCAATTAATTGTATGTATGGTAGGTGTGGTAATTACATTTCATATGTATGGTATGTATGGTATGTATGATCGAAGGAAGTTTAGAAGTCAAACTTCCGACAATATGGACAGATGAAAAGCAGAGCAGGGAAGAGGCAGAGAGAAGAGAAAGATCAGAAGAAAGAAGAGTAGAAGAGAAAGAGTCAGAAGAAAGAAGATGCAGATGCGCGAAAAGGTAGGAAAGTCGCGAAACACTGTGTTTTTCCAATGATTTGTGGCTCCAGAGGGTCGAAAAGTAGGCTCGCTAAAGCAGCGCGTGCGGAGCCAGCTGGCCAGATGAGAGATGAAAAATTGCACGCCGTTGTGGCGCGAAGCACATTTCCAAGTCAAAATGTACAAAGCACACCAACTTCGGACCACTTTTGGAAGTTGAGATGTCAAAAAAGTGCACGCCATTGTGGCGCGAAGCACGTTTCCAAGTCAAAATGTACAAAGCACACCAGCTCCGGACCACTTTTGGCACTTGAGATGTCGAAAGAGTGCACGCCGGTGTGGCGCGAAGCACATTTCCAAGTCAAAATGTACTAAGCACACCAGCTCCGGACCACTTTTGGAAGTTGAGATGTCGAAAAAGTGCACGCCGTTGTGGCGCGAAGCACATTTCGAAGTCAAAATGTTAAAAACACCAGGGGTTCGGACCACTTTTGGAAGTTGAGATGTTGAAAAAGTCACGCCGTTGTGGCGCGAAGCACATTTCCAAGTGAAAATGTACAAAACACACCATGTACGGCACGGACAATTTTTGGAGGTTCAGATGTCGAAAAAGTGCACGCCATTGCACGCCGTTGTGGCGCGAAGCACATTTCCAAGTCAAAATGTACAAAACACACCATGTACGGACCATGTTTGGAGGTTCAGATGTCGAAAAAGTGCACGCCGTTGTGGCGCGAAGCACATTTCCAAGTCAAAATGTACAAAGCACACCATGTACGGACCATTTTTGGAGGTTTAGATGTAGTTTCGCGTGGCAGGCGCAAAGGATTGTGGACCTTGTCAAAAGTGAGCAAAACGTGAGGGTTTTGTAGCATTTTCAACCACAACCACCACTACATTACACTACACGACACTCCAATACATTACACTACACTACAACTACAACTACTACACCTTCACTACATTCTACTACACTCCACTACACTACACCGCACTCAACTACATTCAACTACACTACTTTACACTACACTACCTTCCGTTACACTACATCACACTACACTACACTCCATTACACTACACTTCACTACATTACACTACAACTACAACTGCACAACTACACTCCACTAGTCCACTACACTCCACTACACTCCACTACACTCCGCTACATTACACCGCTACACTAAATTGCACTACACTACACTACACTACATTACACTACACGACACTCCACCACACTGCACTACACTACATTACACTACACGACACTACCTTCCACTACACTTCACTACATTACACTACACTACACTCATGGTGAATGGATAGAGAACGAAGAACATGGTGATGGATAGCTGTGGACATGGATCGATGAAGAGATGGACGGAAAAAAACTAACAGAGAGAAGTAAGTGGATGGATGAATGGCTGGATAGACAGAAAGAAAGATGGACAGTTTAATAGTTAGGGGAATAAACAAATCGAACGATAGATACATGAATAGACAGGTAGATTGGTAGATGGCTAGAAAGGTAGCTCTGTAGATAGATGGCGAAAGAGAGACACAGAGAGAAAGAGAGAAAGAGAGACAGAAAGGGAGAAACACTCAACCACCTTTCAATCCATCAGTGGGTTCGCTCTGCCATTTTTGCGTCACACCAACTCGCCTCTCCTATAGGTTTTCCATTTTTGAAACTTCCGCCACCGCCTTGTGCGGTACTACTGGTATACCTATGTATGTATATGCATATCACGAAACACAGGTCTCATATACATTGACACTTGCAGGACCAGCACTTTGTCCGCCTTGACCCAGAAACTGTTGGTTTTTGCCTAACAACTGTATGTCCTTCTCAGGTAATGGAGATGACTGAGAAATAGCTGGCTACAAAGCTTGGTTTCACTTTGCGATCCATTGTTTGACTATCTTACCGCTTTCTAGCCAGCTTGATTGCAATCAGTTGGATTCCTGCCTTTGACATACCTTTCGATCCCAATGTAAAGATTTGGGCACAGTGCCCACAGGCCATGTGTGTGTGCTAGGTCAGTTGCAGATTTCCTAGTCTGCAAGTGGTTTGAAGTCTACCAGCCACAAGTGCTGAACAGCCTTGACATAAAACAATGCACCTCTGCTGCTGCCCTACTACAGCCTGCAAGTTACAGCGAGGATTCTCAATTTGCACGTGCTGTGCTTAGAGGGAACTTGCAGAAACTTATATACCATATGGACCTTCTACTCCGAGGCCCAATGCTTCCCCGTCAGAGATCAAAAAGGCTGCCCAACAGATTTGTAAGATGCACCATGGGTTTGTCCTCTAATTCAGTGCAGGCATACTACAAAGAGGCCCGGTTGCCAGAAACTCAGGTGGATGTTTGAATCGAAACCAGAATAGAATGAAACCCAGAAAGTGACATTTGTCCGAAATGCAGATTCAGAGATTCAGAATAGTTTTTCCATTCCTTGTGTCAGAAGGGCTGATAATTTCTGATAAGACAGTATTTGCTGGACCCTAGTGGGCTGGTGTCCTCAGGTGTCACCCTGACAAGAATCCTGGAGATGCTGAAGCCACGGCAAAATTCCAGAAGTGAGCTCCTCAAAGGATTCAAAGGATTCAAAGGGCATCTCAAGTTTCCTCCCGCCTCATGCCGCAAGCTTTACTTCGAAGATCTTCGAAGCCTTCGGAAACATTAGAGTTTTTTTTTCACTTGGCATGGCTTCATTGCCATGGGCATTGAGAGGGGTTTGTTGTGAGCGTGCGTGTTTTTTGTATTCATGCTGCGACACTTGCCATTGCTTCAGCAACACTTCGATTTGCCGCGGACTTGTGTTGCCCCAAGAGACAAACACTTAGTATGGAAAATGCGGTTTCCCAGACACCATCTAACCCATACTTTTGAAAACGCAATGGTGCAGGTAATCTGGCAGCTCATGCCATGTCCTGGAACCAAATCCATCTCATTCCTCAACAATATGTTCAAAGTCATTTTGTATGACATGAACAGTAGGCCTCACTCAAAATGCAACAGTCCTACAACATCCTGAGACAGGATTCGCAACCTCACATTCCTTCAATCAAACATGTACATAGCAGCGTTACCAGCAGATGGTTCGTTGATCCATTGCATTGTTCCATCTCTTGAAAGCCCGTGTTCCATCCATGCACGGGGAATTATTATTGGATAGGCAAAGCATGGCAAAACAAAAAAGTAAAATACTCTAATGGTGCAGGACAGCATCGCCTTCTGTTTGGTCAGCTGGTATCACACCGATGCCTTACGATACCAGTAGGGCGACTGGGTAGACTAAAAGCTATATTACAGTATCCAAAGTCTTGCAAGCCCCGGCAAAAAAAATCTTGCAAGAACGTGCAGAAAACATAGACAACTGCCCCCCCGATGAACAACATCGATAGTTGAGACAGGAGGTATGAACTAGTTAGCCTTTTTAAATGTGAAAGGCACTTCTGTCCGATCTACATCTTGTGTCCTATGTGTTCAGCAGCGGCATGCGCCACACTTTTGGACATAGCAACGTATTCTTCGCCGGAAAAGTGCAGTTTCCCTGAAAAACATGCATTCTTACACAAGGTTTTGAAACAATACATGACTTCACGTGAATAAACCAAAGGGCTGGATGAGGGTTCTTGCTCGTTTGCGGACTATCTCGCTACAAGTGTCCATCTCACGGGCTCGCCTGAAAATGTTTTAATCCCAGAATCTATCTTAGATAAAAAATGCCGGAAGCGCAACGCGCGACGGATGGAAAATCCGAAGAAGTCGTGTCCTAACGGGTTGGCTCAGCTTTGCGGACTAGCTCAATTGTACGGACTTTCAAAACGCTCTCAACCATTTTTCTTTTGAAAAAAAATAAGAAAAAAACACATGAACCCTTGATATGGGTACATACCATTGAGATGGGCACATAGGCTGTTTTCGTGGTATTTACAATGTTCGGCGTCAAGTGCTCTTCTGCGGGGTATGTATCCATCTCCGGGATCGGCCAAAAAATAAGAACAAAAAACAAAACTGAGATGTAACTCGAACTTTCGAAAATCCTTTGCAGTTGAGAAAGGCACATCAATATGTGGGAATCCTGCTGGGACAGTTCATGCTTCCACCAGGACTTTCAAAGTCAAAATTTGCGCAGTTCGCGATGCGCAACACGCAACGAACGACAAACGATGAATGGCCCTGTCTCAAAGAATGTTGAGATGGGCACATAAATCTCACACAACGAAAGGAATAAACAATAAGCTCGGTGTCGGACATGCAAAAACAAATGATACAAATGCAGTTCAACTTGTCATGTTCTTCAGAGGTTTCAAAAGAAATTTGGGCAAGCAGTGAGGCCTCCCAAACTGAAAGAGGCCACTGACAGTGCAACATTTTTGAATCGAGCCTTGGAGGGGAGACCTTTCGCAAGTTGAGTTTTGCGGACCCCACAGAAACAGGTCAATTGTGAACAAACGGTCGGTAACTTCCCAATTCTGGGATGCATGATGCAGCACATTTTGTCTTCGTGTGCTCACAACAAGCCTCTCTCTTTCTCTTGGATTTTGTTGGAGGGAGAGCTCGGAAGCACATGGGTCACATGGGTCACATGGGTGGGTTCCGTCAAGTCTAGGCTCAGCACCATTTACCAGGCTGCTGCGCATGCTGCATATGCTGCTCCGTTTTGGACTGGATTCGATGGGACAGTTTTTTGATGTTTTTTGAAATTTCCCTGTCATCCAGTCATCCAGTTGAGACTTGTGACCGGCTATGACTTTTCTTACAGTAATACGCTCATTGAACCATGGAGCTTCCGATAGTCCCGGTTTGTACTGTAGGTGCTGGGCTTTTCGTTTGGCGCTTGATTTGGCTTCATCCCCTCATGCAGCTGTGTAGGTCCTGTCTGATCCAGAGCTTCGGAAGAAGTGACCCCAACCACACGCTGTCACAACCTGAAGACTTTTCAACTCTTGACGTTTCTTGGCATCTCTACAATGTCTGTGACCATGGTGCGAAGGTGACATGGTGCTTCATGGGCAAGTTAAACTAGGAATAATATACTAGGAATATTTCTTCAGTTTTCTTTTCAAGGCCACTGTGTAGATAAATATGGTTTATAATTATGCTCCCTCTCTCTCTCTCTCTCTTTCTCTCTCTCTTTCTCTCTCTCTTTCTCTCTCTCTTTCTCTCTCTCTCTCTATATATATATATATGTATATACACGCACTACACACGCATATAAATAAATATATATATATATATATTTATTTATTTATTTAAACACACCATAGACACTATGTATATATGTATGCACACATTATAATTATATACACTATAGATGCTATAGGCACTATAGACGCTATATTCACAATACTCACAACAGACACAATATACATCAATATACGCACATATGTATTACTGCACTACCGCAGTGCTGGAGTAATGCGTACATGCATACATACTACATCCATTCACACATCCATCCATACAGAAACATACAGACAGACATACAGATATGCAGACATACAGACAGACAGACAGACAGAGAGACAAGACAAGACAAGACCAGACCAGACTAGACAGACCGACAGACCGACAGACACAGATAGAGACATACAGACATGCCCGGAGAGAGAGACGGAGAGAGAGAGAGAGAGAGGCATACGAACACAGATACAGACATACATGCAGGCACACATATATATGCATACACTGTACACATATGCATACACATACAAATGCACATGCACGTACACACGCATACCCATATACAGAAACATATACACAGTACACACGAAGGTATGTGTGTGTGTATATATATATATAACCCCCATGTATAGCTCACTATAAAGTGGACATCCTTTGCGCTTATAAAGTGGGTTTCCGGTCGCCACTCTATATACCGACAATGGGGGATAAAGCCGTGTTTTGCGCGAGAAACATGCCCTTGGACCTGGAAGATGACTTTATTAGAACGTTGGCTTTCCAGTTTATACCCGGCTGGTTCCCCACAAGGAAACGACTCAATATATGCGGCAATGCATTTTATAGACCGTTGGTTCCCTTCAAAGAATGGCCATAATATGTCACACCATCCACTTTATAGAAACATGTCTCCCCAATTATTTCGGGCCAATATTTTTCTGTTGGGGCTGTATACATGGCAAAGCACTTTATAGAGTGAAACTTGCCCCTTAAGAAGAAGAATTTGTGCTGCATCCAGGGCACTTTATAGAAAGAAAATTGCGGCAGAGCATTTTATAGAGTCATGAGATACATCATCCAAGTCACTTTATAGAGCTGCCCAGGACCCCATTCACCCTGAGGACCCCTTTCAAGGGAAATCTTCTTCTCTATAAAGTGGCCAGTCCAACATAGATTCTGTTTTTTCAGGGGTTCTGTTTTTTCAGGGGTTTTACCTGGACTGGCCACTTTATACCCCCTCCCCAAACAGAGAAGCCATTTTGGCGCGCGCGCGCGACCAGGACCCCTTTCACCCCAAGGACCCCTTTCAAAGGAAAGTGTGTTAGAGGCATTCTCTGTTGGGGGAGGGGGTATAAAGTGGCCAGTCCAACATAGATTTTGTTTTACCATAGATTCTGTTAAAGACTTCGATATAGATATTTGTCTGGCTGTCGGTTTCGTTCGGTTTCGAAGTCATTCGAAGTCTTTTGGGGTTCCCCATCGATGAGATCGATGATATTCCCCCAAAGTTTGAACGTGGCCCCTCAACTTTATAGACAATCATGTCGATGCTTCCATCGTCGCGATTAAGAAAATCATCGCTACTACAACGATCGTTGTTTAGTAGGAAATCCACATTATAGTGCCACTGTTCGACATAAGTATTACTATCTGGATGTTCGGCATCTCACTTTATAGTCATGGGACATGTTCCATAACATGTGACCGCTGTGACCTTTACATACGGGGCTCGAGCATAGAGCCAAGGAAAACAGGCTACAACAGCCGTTGCACCCCGTTGGTGTTTCGTGTGTGTGACCCATTGCCTGGGTGGAAGTGCATGGTAGCGGAGCCCTGGTTGGGTCTGAGAAGAAGGACGACATCCTGATACCCGAGGATGTGATCCCGACGTGGGATGGGGACCCTTCAGCCTTTGAGTCCTTCTGTGCCAACTGCCAATGGTACAGCCATGGGCTGAAGGACTCTGAGCGGAAGCTGGCAGCCTTACGAGTTTGCCAGAAGCTCAGCGGTGCTGCGAAGAGCGTGGTGAAGCACCTGGGCCCGAAAGAGTTCAACATGGAGAATGGCCTGGAGAAGCTGCTGACAATTCTTCAAGAACCCCCTCTGCAGAAGCTTCCAGTGCCGGATAGCTTCAACGGACTTGAGAAGTGGTCTGGGCTATGCCGTGGACAAGGTGAAAGCATTCCACAGCTGCTGGTGCGCGAGGAGGAGCTCGTCACGGAGTCGCAATGAGTTGCAGCAGTCCCTGAAGCGAGCTCGTCAAGAGAGAAAGAAGGCTGAGATGAAATCCGCAGCTTCTGGGGTTCGCGAACGTCACCCTTCGGAATCGCTTTCGAGATCTCCAGCTATGGGGGCTGGGCTTGACGACATGGATGGATGATGGTGAAGATCAACCTCCTCATGCGGGAACTTCCATGGAGTCCGGCTTCTTTGAGAACGAGCTCAGGGGCTATCGACTGTTGAAGACTTCAAAGCTGAGCGCTAGCGAGAAGCAGCACGTCCTGACGCTGACCAAGAACTTGACCCACTTCATGCTACTGTTTGCCGAGACCGACATCGCCGACGAGATGAAGCAGCAGAAGCGAGCAGTGTGGTGCACCGAAGCTCCAGAAGACTGGGATGGCTATGGTGAGGAATGGGATGCCAGCAATGGTGGGATTCCGAGGCCTAGTGGGCTGAGTGGTAGGCCGAGCCTTTGAAGAGCGTGAAGAGGCGTACTATAGAAGAGCGCCGACATGCCTTGGCGACCGAGGCTAATAAGACCCTCAGCGAGGCCAAGAAAGCAGTCGCTCGGGTTCGACAAGCTGGTGGCTACTATGACAGCACTGGCATGAAGGTTCCAAGGAAAAGGCAAGATGAAAGGCAAAGTCAAGGGCAAGACGCTTGGTCCTTGCTTCACATGTGGACAGCCTAGGCACTCCTACTTGCAATGTCCTGATCGTTTCTCGAAAGGTGGTGGACGTGGCAAATTCTTCATCGCCTACATCGTCTACTGGCTCCCCATCCTCCAAAGGAAAGGGCAAGCGACCTTTCAAGGGCAAGACCTACTTTGTGGAGTATGAGTACGTTCCTGAGAATGTCCAGGACATCAACATGCTCTCCCTCCTGGAGAATGAGGACATGGCCACTGTGGCAGCTTCATGGGTGGTGTTGGACACAGGCGCAACTGAGTCTGTGGCCGGAGTTGCAGCCATGACGAGGCTGCGGACCCACGACCACATGGATGGAGTACTACATCACTCTTCATGACCGACCGACCTTTCGGTTTGGCAATGGGCTGACACAGAGGGCAATTTAATTTCTCGAGCCCGCTTGACTTGCAGAGTTTTGGGTGGCGTGGCGCTCTTTCTCTTGGATGGCACGGCGGAGAACACACCTCCATTGCTTGGCTCCAATCTGAGAGCGCGGAAGGCAGTCATCACCCACACCCACAGAGCTGCGAAAGATGCGGACTGCCCCTGAAGTATGTGAGCAAGGGGAAGGCGACAGGAGAAGCAAGGGCAATTGGCCCTCCACCAGACCAGGTGGAAGCATCAGTTCTACGATGCCGACCAGATGAACGAAGAGATCTTCAACGGCAAGTTGATGGAATTTCGTGGAAACGCTGATGGCATCGACGTGCAACAAGGGCTATACACCAAGGAGATGGAGCCCGACCATGCTGAAAGCGTCAATGCCACCAACAAGGGCATCACCATCGACCCCGGGCACAGCAACCGGGACAAGGACACTGCTGGTGAAGAAGGAGAAGGTTTTCGAGGAGCTGAGCGTCCAGGGGATCTCCGGGCATCTCCGGGCAGTCCGATCTTTGTGGGCGTCGAGGAGGAGGAGTTCGGAGTGGTGACATCCCCAGAAGTTCCAAAATGAGGTCACTATGGGAGGCTCTGGATAGCTTCAAGACCAGAATGCGAGGAGGCAAAGGCTATGAATGATGATAGACTGGTAATTCCAGTGAATGGCCAACAGCGGCTGGAGGCTGCGCCTGGCGACCAATTCCAACCTTCAACTTTGAGCGCAACATCCAATTTTGGGGAACTTCATCGTCTTCACCAACCACGTTGACGACGAGCACTACGACTCAACCGAGCTCTTTTGCAACTTCGGATGATACAGCTGATGTAAAAACTGGGCGACCTTCCTTGGCACGACGGCTGGCAACTGCAGCAGCTGTGACTGCATCTTTGATGCCAGTTCGCGAGATTGGGGCTGTGACACCTCAGATCGATGTGATGGAAGTGGCATGCTCTCCCAACTCGACTCTGACCAAGACCTTTGAGTCGCAAGGCTATGTTGGGAAGAGGATCAGCTCTGGCTACAGCTTCGGCTCCAAGAAGAGCATCGACAAGCTGGCTCTTGAGATCCCCGAAGTGAGCCTGGGTTTCCATGAAGTGCACCCGGCACTCAGCGTTGCAGAACTTGACACAGCGCACTGACGAGGAGATGGACGGGTTTCTTCGAAAGAGAGCTCAAGATCTACGTCGATGTGATGACCTGGTGACGGCAGCTGAGCCGATCCTTGCTGCTGGAAGAGACATAGCTTGGGAGTGGCCAACCAGTGCTGTGAGCGGATGAATTCAAAAGTCACCTGTTGATTTCAAAGGATGTTCCACAAGTACAACGGCCACTGCTTTTGGATCAACATCGACCAACCAGAGAAGAAGGCCTGGAAGATCTTGAAATCATGCCGAGAGCTCTACATGACCCTCAAGCTTCGACAGAGGGCAAGTGGCTCAAGCATCTTCCTACTACCCGCTGAAGCTCTGTCAGGCGGTGGCCAAAGCAATGGCCTACACCTGGAAACGTCAAGAAGCTCCTGGTAGTGAACAACCTCAACATGCTTTGGCCCTGAGCAGGCGACGATTGGACTTGCAGCAAACCCCAATTGGCAAGCGCTTGGAGGCTGTCAAGCAGATGATGCTTCGTGTCCATCGTGCCAGTGGCCATCCAAGCATGACCAACCTGGTTTCTCTCTTGCATGGACGAGCACCTGGTTGACCGATCGAACTTGCCGCAAAGCTGATTGAATGCCCTGAGTGTCGTGAAGCACGACCACGACCAAGACCTTGTGCATCCTCTGGAGAAGACTCCAAGATCTATGAGATCCTTGGCACCGACGTCTTTCAGCACGAGGATGAGCCCAATGGGCGAAAGCGCAAGCTGGTGCTGTGGCGTGACATAGGCTTCTGGTCTCACAGCGATTGACCATCTGCAGACCTACGTTGGCAATTGGGAGCCTACTTCGGTAGACACCATCAAGTCCTTCAACAAATTGGCCGGTCATGACATGCCCGATGCCAAAATGGGTTCTTGCCGACTCTGCCCGCTACAGTTATATATGTGAGCCAAGAGTTCATGGACCACTTGAACAGATACGGTGTTGGACTTTTACTTGCGCCTGCAGAGGCACACTGGATCATGGGCTATGAAAAGGGCGTGCCAAGCGCATTGAACGTCTTAATTCAATGCGAGGGCAACAAGCTGGCGATTGACGAGCTCTACATGTTGGCTGCTGGAGCTATGAACTCTCATGTGGTCCCAAGCGGTTTCAGCCCTTACCAGTGGGTCTTTGGCGCTGGTGGAGCCGTTCTTGATGATGAACGACTTCTACCTGGCATTGAACCAGCCAAGGCTTTTAAAGTGATTGACCCATGACCTCAGCGACATCAACAACACTGGCCACATGAAATTTTGGGCACGATCTCGCCAAAGTCAGAGACATCATGTCAACAGCGAGAGAAAGTGGGAAGTTTACCCGTGGTACTGCGTCAAAGTTATACGGCATTGCCAACTTCTGGGGGCAGGGCATCTATGGTCGAGTGGGCTATGGTGGATTCATTGTCATGGCCATCAAAGCTCGCCAAGGCGAAGCCACAACAATGCTGACCCCCGAGATTGAAGCATGTGTCGAGGCCGACAATCACGGATCTGGTGGTTTCCACCTTATCTTTTTCCAACCGGACGGGTCCCAGACTCGTCTCAGTTTTGTGGCAACAAATTGCGCAGAGCCTATGGGAACCAGCAGAGACCCACATCGCACAGCTCGAACTTTCGATGGTGCTGTACGCGTTGATCGAACGGCCTGACCTTTTTCGCAATCGGCAAAGCCTTTGGTTTCTGGACAATGTGGCTGCGGTGATGACCTTAGTGAGAGGGCGCTCTAGCAGTCCTGACCTTGCGAAGCTCTGTCACCTAATCCATCTGGCCCTGTTTGCCTTGCGTGCCCAGGGTTACTGGGAATACGTCCAGAGCAAGAGCAATTCAGCAGATGATACCAGTCGTACCGCACAAGGCGGTGGCGGAAGTTTCAAAAATAGGAAACCTATAGGAGAGGTTGGTTGTTGCGAATCAGGGATGGCAGAGCGAAGCCACTGATGGACCGAAAGGTGCTTGAGGTCTCCTCTCTTTCTCTCTCTTTCTCTGACTATCTACCTACCTACCTACCTACCTATCTATCTATCGATCTATCGATCTATCTCTCTTTCTCTCTCTCTCTCTCTTCCACCTAATTATCTATCTATCTATCTATCTGTCTGTCTGTCTATCTATCTATCTATCTCTCTCTCTCTCTCTTTCATCTGTCTATCTGTCTAGCTGTCTACCTGTCTATCTGTCTATCTATCTATCTATCTGTCTATCTGTCTACCTGTCTATTTGTGGCGCAGTGTCATTCAGTGTAATGTAGCGTAGTGTAATGTAGTGTAGTGTAGTGGAGTGTAGTGGAATGTAGCGTAGTTGTAATGTAGTGTAGTGTAGTGTAGTGTAATTTAGTGTAGTGGAGTGTAGTGGAGTGTAGTTGTGTAGTTGTGTAGCTGCCTCTCCGGGTTTTATACTGGTTCAACTTACCATATGTCTATTTCAGCAGGGGCGTGCAGCACCTTTGGCATACTGCACGCAACGAAGCTATTGCCATTGGTGGGAAGGGGAGGCTGATCACCTCCCTGTACCTGCAGAATCCAGTTTGAACTGTTGAACAAGCTGTCCATTTCAATTTTTGCAATCAGTACTTGTGAATGGCAAGGGGCTAAGCCAAGTACCCCCAATACAATGACTTTATTTCTTCACGGTTGCCACAATCTGTGTTTTCGCCGAAACCACGTCGCCGACTGTAATTTTGATGATTTCGCCGAAACCATGTCGCCCATGTCTTCTTTGATTATTCTGGAAAACCATCGCCGAAACCTACTTCATCGTTGACATTATTTTCTGTGTTATCAACATGATGATCCTATTCAACTTTTTGGAATCTGATTTGGACTCCGTTTGACAACATTGGATGCTCTACATCGTTTTCGAGAAGTACTACAAGGGGATCTACTTTAGGTCTAATTGTCTAGGCTGGTTTGCATGTTACAGGACTCAGTTCCTGACGGATCTTTTCAAAGATCCTTTCTACTCTTGTCTAGTGTGATTCCTATGGTGACTCCGACAAGGTGACATAGGGCCAATTGAGGCAACCCCTTTGTGGGTGACTGTGGACAGACTTGACTTCCGAACTCACACATTTTTACTTAGTAATTCGGTTAAGTAAAGTGCAGCAGTTGGCCTTATTGTAATGCGCCTTTTTCACGAAGTCCCGCCGTTCTTGTCGTCCCCACTTACCTCGCCAATTGCCGTTCTTTCAACGTGAAGTTGCTCTGAACAACCAGAAACACAAAATTTGTTCACCGCTGCAGCTCCAGCTTGTGACATTTCATGACAACAGGCAAGGCAGGTGCATGCTTGCAGGTTTGGTGACTCTTTCTTTTCATGGTTGTCTGGTGAGGTCAACCATATTGTGCACCTACAGTAATTCGTTGGAACTTGAACAGCTGTTTATGCCCTTGTGGCTGACCTGACTACCGTCCCGGCAAGGGAATAACGCACGATTTTTTGATATTTAGGAACTGAGTCCTGTTTTGAAGTTGTTTCTCACTATTCGGTCAATTCAACTCCATTCAATTCGAGCTATGTTTCCTTGGACTTCCTCTTCGACATCATGGCCACCTTCCTCGACTTCCACACCTACGGCACTAACGTGGCCACCAACTTCGCATCCTACAACGACTCCTACACGTCCACCCTTTGTGTGGTCTACCCCTTCACCGTCCCCTACTACACACCCAGTACACCATCCAGGCTATCAACTTGACCAACAACACTATTCACCGACCCCAACTTCCTTATCGACTTTACCACCAGGATCAACGGATCATCTTTTCGGACATCCTTCAGTCTTGCACTCTTCATGGCCTTCCACAACCTCGATGCCGACTACAACCAGCTCATCGTCACCACCAACTTTTTCGTCCCTTGCAAATTCACCTTCAGCTGTACCATCTCCACATCATATTTTCCCAACGACACCATCGACTACTCGCTTTGAAGTCCCGGCCTTTCCCTCATCAACGCCGAGTTTTGCAGCCCACACTGGACCATCCTTTTCCACCTCATGCCAACCAGTTCCAGTACCATCACACGATTCACAGTGTCCACCCTCTTCTCATCACACTCCCATCTCCACCGCCACGCCAATCCTTCATCCACCTCAGCCTGCGACTCCTACTACAGTGACACAACCTCCTGTGGCTCCCAAACACACTGCTGTCAAGGCCGCCCCGAAGATTCGCTCCGACAAACGTCTTGAGAGACCACGTCCCATGCACCTCCGGCCACCCTCCAGCCAGTGTACCTCCAGTTCCTCCCGCCATCCAACAAGATCTGGCAAGCTTGGGCACCACTACTAAGGAACTGGCTGAATCCGTTCGTCTCATTCAACAACAACAACAACAGCAACAGCAACAGCAAGAACAAGAACAAGAACAAGAACAACAAGAACAACAAGAACACCAAGAACAACAAGAACAACAAGAACAACAAGAACAACAAGAACAAGAGCAAGAGCAAGAACAAGAACAAGAACAAGAACAACAACAAGAACAACAACAAGAACAACGACAAGAACAACAACAAGAACAACGACAAGAACAACAACAAGAACAACAACAAGAACAACAACAAGAACAACAACAAGAACAACAACAAGAACAACAAGAACAACAAGAACAACAAGAACAACAACAACAGCTTATCATGGAGTCTCACCGCCTTCAAGAGCAGCAACAACAACAACTTCGTCAGACCCCTCCGACCACCATGTCACCTACACCACCACCGACTACATCGGCTCCCGCAACCAAAGCCCGACCAGTTGAACCTCCAGCACCTACACACACCACTTCATCAGCGAAAACTGCTCCACCGATTCGTATTCCCTCCAAGTCGCCAACAACCGGTGCACCTACACCCAGGCCTCACCGATCGCGCTCTCGCAGACGCTCACATCATCGTCCTCATCGTGTGATTCTACACACCGCCGACCACAACGTCCTCGATCACCACTTCCAAGACAACGCTCCACCACACAGAATCCAAAAAGTCGCCGAACACCCTCACCATATCGCCGCCGATCTCCAGCCCGTCGTCCAGAACCACCTCGCCGACATCACACCCCGGACCCTCCTCGCCGCAGTCGAACGCCTTCCCGGAGCGCCATTGTCCTGACCCCCGCACCACGCAGCTTGGATCCTGGGTTTATTCCTACACCAGATGCTGATGACACCTGGGGTGACTGGAAGAACAACCAACCTGATGCCCATCAAACTGACGACCGACGACCTCGTTCTCCACCAGGTCCTTTTTTGCAAGTACTTCAGCAGCTGCACCCTTGGGCTCGGTTTCCTACAGGGTTGCCACTGGGGACAGTGATGCATCAGATCAAGATCAAGAAGAACACTTCTCGATCGCTACTTACGAACCAGGAGACACTGACATTGAAGAAATGAAGGCAGCAGCAGTTGACCCCGAGCGGGTCCGATGTGTCACAGAACTTGGTAGTTCTCATGTCGTCTCGATTCGAACTGAGTTGGATAATCCTACAAAGATCTTGTAAAACAATTTCATTGACGAGATGTTCAACCAGTTGGCAAAACCCTACATCACGGATGCCAATGAAACTATATACATCAAAGCCAGTCGGTCCACAGTGAACAACAAACAACATTGCAAAGGCCTTTGCCCAAGCTCGGTTGCTCGACATCAACTTAGCAAGGAAAACACAAGGTTTCTTCGTCGAACCGGAATGTTTGCTGACCATCGCGGTACCAACGGGCCTCCCACAGAAGGACATTTTCAAAGGACAGCACTCCGGTACCTATATCAGCTACCACAAAACAAGCTGGGAATCAGTTGTCAAAATTCTGGTGGAAAATTGCGTCCGACCAGCAAGTTGGGCAAAAAACGAAGCCGGCATCCCGACCCAATTCCCATGTTACGGGTTCTTCGGATATTCCTGTGAGATTGCGGACACCGAGGACTTGAAGCCGTGGCCCATCCGAGTCTGCACTTCCAACCTCTACAAGATTGGCAAAGGACAAAACCCTTCGGGAATCCTGGCCACGTGCCGGTCACCCAAACTCATCCGTGCATGCTCAATCGGGGGGCAACGACCAAATTCAACGCCTCTGTGCGATCGCTGGCATAGCAAAGGGCAAAGACGGTGCAACGGCTATGAACTCCAAGTGCGCATCGGTATCCTATAGGTGGCATCAACCCATCCAGTATTACCAAGGCTCCGATCCCTACCCGCGCTTCTACATCTTCAATCGCAGGAGATCCTCCCGAACCGTCGCCGACGGAACCTACTCCCCCAACAACCCTCGACGCTGCCACCACCTCCACACCAATGGCACCGAACCCAACACCTCACCATCACATTCGTGGACCCGATGACCGCAATGCATATCGTGGCACAACCGAATCTGATCGCCGAGGGCATCATCGAGACACTCACTCTTCTTGGAATCGAACTTCCTCGGATTACCATGGTCGCTACACCTCTCATCGAGAAGCACGCTCTCGTGACCATCGCCGCCGTGAAGGATCTTCGGGATACTACGCCTCCAAACGGAATGCTGACCGCTCCCGCTGGTGATCCCTACGTCAAGGAAAAGCACATTTGAACCGAGTACAACCGGCCTTTTTTGGAGTAACAATGCTTCTCCCGACAGGCACAGGCGTTCGACGCCGCTTCTTCCGTAAAAATCGCTTGCTGTCAATCGTCCGGCCGGAACTTCATTTCGAATATTGCTATAATTTCTTATTATTATGGTTTTCATCTTGCTCCGCAGGTACCAACTTATTTACCTGGATTTTTCCGATTTTCTGATGACCGACCATGGCTGGGGCTAAGCCAAATACCCCAAAACGAAACAAACTGACAAACGTTCCATTGCAAATTGCCTCATGTCGACCATTGAGTGTATTTGGAGATCTCATGCAATTTCAAGCTGGCTTATTCCACACCGTGTACTCCGTTGCGACCTTGGACATCATGGCGTCCCAAGACTTGATCTCTCAGTTTACCCAAGGGTCACCGATGATCCCGGCAACGCAACTGGATCGATCTCGCACTCCTTGACGCCCTCATCAGGAATGGCATCAATCTGCACCGACGTTTCGTGGGCCAATGCGCTATGCAATGGCTGCTTCTCGACCTATGTGGCTTCACCAAGGGATACCTCCACCATCACCCTCAACATCCCCCTGCCCTTCACGACCTTCATGGACGACCCCTCCGCCAACTTCGTCATTCCCACCGACACCTCCTGTTCTACCTCATGGACCTCAAAACTACAACACTTTCACACCTCAGAGATGCGGAACCACTACACCGAGATCACCACCGTCCACTACCTCACCACCTGGCTTTTCCCCCGTCCGTCAGGGATACACCTGCCGCCCGATCGACATCCCACCGATCGATGGATGGAAACCCGACGTTGATTTCCATGACTCCAACAAGGTGAATGGTTTGGACTTCCCTTCGAAAATACGCCAAAGCAGATTCTCGAGCTTCAAAGACATCGAAGGTATGGATCCATTGCAGGTCCCATTGTGGAAATTCTTATATCAAGGTCTTCACAATACTTGGCTTCGTCGCATTGCCTATGGGAGGGAAACCTTTGTGCTCCCTTTCGACAATATCGGCACTACGGTCTTTATCGCAGAATTGGCGGCTCAACTTCGCACCCGGAATGTGGACTTGGACGACAAGCTGGCGGCATACAAATCGCGCGCCTCTGGCCAATACGTCAACCAGAAAGAAGCTACGCAACACATGGCCAAGGAAGTCGCCCAACTTATGCAATCGTGGTTACCGTCGCAACCAGCCGCCGACAATGCCAGCCAACAACGCATTTTGGAACTGGAAGCTGAATTGGCCAAGGTCAAATCGTCGAATACCCAGGCCTTACCCACAACCACTGAAGCACTGGGAAATGCTTCCACGCCCATTGGACGAGCTCTACAGGGGCAACCATCCGCTACATCTTTTGATCCTTCTTGCTTGCTGGTGTCCCCTGGCTCCGTCAACCCCTGGCTCGTGGAGAGCCAACCTTCTTCGCTGACCGAAACGCAGTACAAGAAATGGCTGAAGGACTTGAAACTCCCTTCTCACAAACAGGAAACACTGGAGAAGCAGCTGGAAAAAGTAGCCACATGGTGGAACAGCCAACAGGACGATGCTGTGAAAACGATCCAGAGAGCCAGTGTGGCGATGGGCATTGATCCTTGCAAACACAAGAACGCTTCGACTGACGAGATTGTCCTCAAGGTCATGACTGTCGCGATGCTGATGCACTCCTAAGTATTTGACGTCCCGGGACTCAAAAGCAGCCCGTATCATGCCGGATCTCGCCGTTGCTCATGCATGTATTCTGTCGTTGGCATAGCTCACTCCTTTTACTCTGTCTCCGTCGGTTGATGTCTTTTATGCTTTTCGAATGATTCAAACGGCGCTGATGGGTCAGTACGTGCTACTGCATCCAAAAGGTAATTCCAAACTGCAAGCTCTCCTTAATGGCACTCCGTTTCGGCGTATATTCTTTTGTACGGGTGGCCTTAAGGTCTCTCTCAATTGTTTCAAACATTCGAATGCTGTTTATGTTCGATTTTCTCACATTGCCAATTTCCAACCGAAGTTCTATTTGGGATCCACTTCGTCGTTTGCTCTGGACCGCGAACATTCCCGTTACCGGAAGTTTTTACAAGTGCAGCAGAATAAATTGTCTTGGCCGAAGTAGCTCTGCGATTTTGGTGTAGATACGACAACTTTTGGATGTGGTCGATTTTGCGTATCTACACCAACAAATCCAACTTTTGGGCTTTGGAACAAGCCTTAATTCAATTGTGGCAGCCTCAATTGAACACTCCGTTCATTTATCTATTTTTCAAGTGCCGGAAAGGACTCATTACTCGAACCAAGTTTTCCAGGTCCCGTCAGTTTGGAGCGTTTTCCTTGTGGCGCAAACTTCGATGGAAGTCGACACCCCAACAAGTTCGACGAGCTCTTCACAGTCGACAGTCCCCTATTCCATCGCCGTGTGCAACTTTGGGAAATCATCCAGGATTTCGGAAGCAACTCTATCAGACGCTTCCACATGGAGAAAAAACTCCGGTCCAACGAAATTGGTGCACAGGGATGCTACTTTATCCGACGTCTCGCCAACAACCTTGGAGAACCCCAACGATCCTTTGCCATCAGTACTATCGACAGGGCCTTGAAGTTCTGGAAAGCCAAACGAGTAAGAAACCCTACTCCTCTTCGAGCACCGTGGCTTCTGGCTCCGACCTGGACACGCGATCTCCGCAAACTTCGATCTCACTTCCCATGGCATGTACACATAACCAAACCGTACAATACCACGCTTCAAACCCCGTCTACAGGAGTCGTCTTCACCAAGTACCCCTCGGTTATGGACAGCCTCTGCAACCACAAAGATGTGCTGACGATGAGCCACCTGTTTGTGCTTGTTCCGCCCTACGACAACACACGTACCCTGCAGACCAACACCTTGTCGTCGACGGTGATGCGCTTCACTTCATTGACAAGCTTCTTACATCGGTTGCTACAGGCTCTCTACAAAACAAGAACTTTCCAGCCTCCAAGGAAATCTACAAGTCCCTGCGTGCAGCATTGGCTACGTGGACAAAAAGGAACTCCCTTCCATCTTTGCGGCATTCCGACCTGGAAGATCTTTGGAAACGGTCCCTCCAGTCTCACCACGCCTCTCTCCTTGACCACATCACCCACAAAGACATTATTGACGATTCAAACAACTCTTCCCCAATGCCATCTTCCACAACGAGGACAAGCGGGCCACTTCTCTTCGAATATTCTGCCCAATGGTCTACTATGAATGCCTCACCAAGACCTTCGCCGATACGTTAGTTTTCAGAAAATTATAGACTCTAGTCCCAACTCCAACTACATCATCGAGAACACCATCGCCGAAATCAGCAAGCAATTTGGCAAGTCCTATCCATGGGCCCTTGGTGCTGGACGCGATCTTCCAAACGCTTACGTCCTCCCAAAGCGCAAGAAGCAGTTCCGCTCGGGCAGACCCATCGTGAGTTTCTTCACCGCACCTTTTTGACCTATGTTGAACTGCATCGCCAAGCTCATCTACCACCTTCTACCACAAGCATTCCCTCACAACCTCGCCAAGGGTGACGTCTTCGACCTCATCAAGCTCCTCAAGAACACCGACTTTGACAACCTCCCGACCCCTCAAATCTACAACCAGGACCTCGCGGGCTTCTTCACCAGCATTGGCACGGACAGATTTTTGGATAGTTGGAGACTCACCTTGAAGTACTTTTGTCCTCTACCATGAGCACCGACCCCGACGAGATCATCTCGGTCAGAGCTTCTACAGGCAACAAGACCGGTGATGTTGTGAAAGGACGAACGTGCCGAACCCTCAACGTGACTCGCAAAATCTTCATTCGTGACATTGAACGCATTATCCTCATGTCCCTGAAGATGACCCAGTTCTCCATCGGCACCTCAGTCTACGAGCAGATCCGCGGCTCACCCATGGGTTCTCCCCTTAGTCCAGCCCTATGTCTGATCGATTGATGGTCGTCGCCCTCTCCGAAGAAATATGGTACCAAACGTACCATACCACGTTAGCCTCAATGGACCTGTCATCTCGCCTCCTTCGATACGTTGACAACCGACTGTTTGGTTGACCCATCCTGGCACTATGAGATCTCGTTCGCAAACTTCCTCCACCCGGAGTTCTACGGCAGCCCCATCATCCTCGAGACGGAACCAGACCAAGAATTTCTGGGTTTTTGTATTGAGTTCGAACCTTTTGCCCTGCGTTATAGCCCTCCTCGTGACTTTAACCAGGTCATGGCACCATTTTCGGCTTCACCGCTGGATGTTCAACTTTCAGGCTTTGTGTCTAGAATGTTTTTGGTCGCCAAATGCGCGCACCCCAAGTCCGAACGGAGTCGAGGTTTTGCCGCACTGCACCGCCTGTACAAAGCTGCAGGGTTCTCTGAACCTGACCTGGTGTCAGCCTCCAAACCGATCCGGCGTTATCTTCGTGTCGCCTCGCTCTGGTGAAAATTTCAGCATCGATTAGTGACTGAGTTTCCCTTGATTATGATTGCGCGACATCAGAACCTTCTAATTAATTCAGGGCCCTGAGCATGCAGCTCAGCATCTTTTCAGCATCTTTATAGCTTTGATGCGGCTCCTTACCGATTACGTTATCAAACGCCTAATAGTATTTGGCTCTCTGACGCTAGATACCACGCCATGGCTTCTTCAGCTTCATTGATGACGATACCGCTTCATGAACCTGTTTTCCAACAGTTCCTCCATGACGTTCATCATGCTTATCTTCTTCTACATCGGGCTATGTCACTACTTCCTCCGACTATGATCCCTGATATTGAGCCTACCCCGCTGCCCAGCACCGGTGTTTGGAACCAACCCGAAGAGCTACAACCAGAGTATTCGGACGCAACCAGTGCTTTCATTGATGGAGCTCCTTCCCCTCGCCGAACACGGAGGATGAAGACAACCACATGGCTGCCTTGGTGAATTACAACTTCCCACGACCTCATCAACATGTTGAAGCTCCGATTCCCGACGCATTCCGGACCC